CCACTTTTGGAAAACTTCCAGAAACATGTCAGGGGACCCTGGAATTGGGCTAAACACATTGTAGCCTTGAAGGAAATAGTACCCAAGCTTCCAATGTCACAAGCAAACACTGTCACAAGGCTGCCCGACCATTCCTCCAACACTGATATGATGTCATCCACATCCCAATCATACCAAGGGACCATGAAACTGACTCAAGTTCCACAACTCCTCCTGCTCTACAAGGTAGAATCTTCAAGACATTTTTATTCATCAACCATGATGTATGAGGCTATTTTAGTAGCAAGATGTGAAATCTGGAAAATTATTTGACAAAACCATTTTAGATTTGTTAACTCCATGGCTGATACTGTTTCCTAACACATTAGTCATTTCAGGTCAAGTTTCAACCTCATCAAGCTGATAAATAGAAAGACATATACAGAGTCTAAGAAAGCCTCTACCCAATGACCCTGAAAAAACATCAAAAGGTTTCCTGTCCTCTTCCCTGAAACCAATCTCAGCTGAAAGTTTCATTAACCGTACACCAGCAATGCCACTGTTGGCGTTAATTACACGGCCATGTATGATGGCATCGATCAAAACCTGACCCAGCAAGAAATGAAAGGAAGTCTTTAAAAGACTGATGATACTTCTACAGGGTTTCAGTCAACAGTGGCAGTTATGGCAGTTTGGAGGGTGAGTGGCCGAACCAAACCAAACTCAAGGTCGGGATGGTATGCAAACACTGACAAATGAACAGAGGTCAAGGTCACACATACTTCAGTCACAAAAGAAAAGAGAACTTGAAGGTCAGGGCACTGTAAATCATATTGTCCTGAAGACGTTTTTCCAAAATCTATTGAGACAGAAGACAGAGTGCAAAATGAGGAAAATAGTTAGTGAAAATTGAAAACATTCATGATCGATACATTTTGGCCTTAAGACCATGCTTTGAGAAACATACAAGCTGATGACAATGCTTACTTGTTATTTTTATGCATAACACTCTTGCTATTTTTTTATGACATGGCAAAAGTTAGAGCATGTTACATCTTAGATACTGCTGCACCAAATGCTTCCCTCTTTCACGTGATGTTGGTTACTATGAGCAGGACTATTTCATGCATACTCCCTGCAACCAGGAGTTGATACAGAAGGAACCCAGGTCATGGTCATGAGCATGTCATGCTCACTATACATTTCTGACCTACCATGGTTGACTTACAGTGTACAGATAGCAGAAAATGTGAGTTAAAATGTGGTCCTTTTGTTAAGAATTTTAGGGAAAGACTAGTCATGACAAACAACAGATGTATTTTAAAACCAAAAAAACAAACATAATTAAAACACAATTATCACTTATTCATGACATGTAATATACATTGCTGATTATGAAAAAACATATAAACAAAATTATAAGCGTACAATCGCAAATCAAAAGTGCAATATTTGGTACTTGGGTTTACTTCCCTCGAAACGAAGCACCCGGGAGACCGAACCCAGTCAGAGCGGTGGGTGTGCACTCAAGTGTAACGAAGCCTTTCATTGGCTGGTTCATTTGCCGATGCCCTCACGGGTTCATTGTGTGTGTGTATATAGAGATGTTGGGTCTTGTAAATAATTTTTTCTGCATTTGCGTTTTATCCAATCAACAAATACTGAGATGGTGAACTACTGCGTGGCTGGAAACTGTCGTTCGTTCAAGTACAAAGCAGGACTTGAAACTGACAATCTGAGTTTGCACCGGTTTCCGTCCGATCCAGTGATACGAGAAAAATGGATGCTGTTTGTTTGCAACCCACAGACATAATAACATGTCATGTGTACAAGTATCACACCTGCCTGTCTGTGTAATTACATAATGTGACAGAGACAGAACTCAGAGTCATAAATCAATGTATTTTGTTTATGGTGTATAGCGGGATACATTTCAAGTTCAAATTGCATGTGGTCAATGATTGAAGTTGTGTATTGCATATTGTCATTAGCAGACAGGCAGGCAGACAGATAGGTGTCAATAAAACAGACATTGAGTTTTGTCTGTGACAGAGACTGCTTATCACAATCAACATATTTTTCTGTTTCCAGAGACATGTATTAAAACATTTCAGTTTTCAAGCTGAGCAATTTTAAACAAAGAAAATAGTATTTCTAATGCTACACTTTCTTGAAAACTTGGTTTGCAAATCTGCCAACCCCCAAAAAGCAAGATGTGAAAACATATATAAGAAAAAGTATGGGACCAGTGTATTTTTATTACTGCAGACCAAAGATGCTTGTAATCACAAGAAACATCTTTTGTTCTCCAACTTCTCTTTTGTTCTCCAACAGCGATAATCCTTGCACGCATCACTTGCTGTTTTTACGAGTCGCCTTCCGGTTCAAAGCCACGAACCCAATCACTCACTGAAGCAGCGCAGCACGGCTGTTGAAACCACTTTTCACCCTAGCTGGGGTGAAATTAGTGAATCGCCTCAACTGCCTTTCATGTGTGTGTGTGTGTAGTGTGTGTGTTGCATCGCGTCGCGTTTTTTCAACTTTAGTGTGAATTTCCAAGCGTTATTTTTCGATAATTTGTTGCACTGATAATCCATTACCAAGTCCATACGAAATGTATCAGAATCTGCAAAGTTAGTTGCATGTGACCTTTAACAATCCATACCTAATGACAAAAGATTAACTGTATTAAGGTTTTGCCCATGACTGCCCTACCACCCACACATCTCTGAATCCAGTAGTGAAGTTATGGAACACAAACACCTGTCATAAACAGGTAAATTCTCAAATTCAGACATGAGTAATGAGACCTATTGAGCATATTAACACTCAGTCAGTCCCCATATCAGCAAGAATAGGTGTAATTGGTGGCCACATGGATCTTTGTTGACTGTATTATGTAGGACTCAACACTGCAGCTTATGAAGTGGACACTAATTTGGTCACACACTCTACCTGAAGTTTGGCTGATTATCAAACCAATAACCACAAAGCTCCTCTGACGTTTGGTGAAGAGAAAATGGTTTATTTATCCCCTGAAATTCTATACAGATTATTTAATTTAGATAACAATTACAACACAAATGACATTTTAGGGACATGTCCATTGTTGCTCTAACAGACCAGTCTAAAACACTATTGATGTTGTATGGTGTCCATGGAGAGTGATGGTGTTAAGTTGTGCTGATCCATGACGACGCAGTTCACAAATTGTGGCCAGGTCATCATGACCTGACTTCCCCATTTCCTCCATAAACACGTATTCATTATCACATGTTCATGAACCTGCCACTTCATTTACATTGATTAACACAGTGTTAGCCTATCAGCAAGATACACCACAAACACTCCGACAGAAAGTGAAAGCATTACAAGGATACTCATCTGAAAGCACTCAGTATTTCCGATGTGAAAGTAAACACGACTCCCAATCAAACCCCTATCCCGGAACAAGTGTAGTAAAAAGACGGCCAGATAGCAAGGATTTATCTAAACTTGTTCAGATTTCTGTCCACGTTTTCAGCAGACGTCTAAAAAGACCAAACAGTAGATGGAAAAAATTCCCAATTTAGAATTCAGACTTGCCCTATTCACGGTCATTACATCGGTATCATTCAAACTAACAGTATAGCTTTGTGACCTGTATTTTGCATATAACAGGACCAATATAATGTAATGAATGCAGAATTATCAAATTATACACAATGCTGTAAGTCTAAATTTCAAATAATTAAGCATTTTCTTCAAAATTTCAACAAATAAACCAAAATATATTTTTAGTTGGGAGACCTATATAAAACCCAAGATAGATATTCAACATGCAAAGTTTTGATCCCAGAATGAGGAAAAGCAATCAAACATCCTGATTAGGTTTCCACTGCAATTACAAGACTACCGGGTTCTATTAACCATATCTTGTTTTTACTGTCAGATTCAACTTTCCTGTATATTTTTAATTGCTTATACATTTTTCACACCCTCTTTTCGAACATAATTCTATTTTGACAAGTCCACACAAATTATCTGCTACAGCTATTGTCCACCAGATATTGGTGAAAGTGGCAGTTCACAAGGAGATAGCACACACAGTATTTTCATGGTCATTGCTTCATGATATCCAAACAAATATGGCATCGCACTTGTTTAACTAGTCAAAATTAACAGATTGTAAGACTAACATTACATCATGAACAGGTTATCACAAGAGTGTGTTTTGTAATGGTAAGTCTGAGGAACACAAGCTTATTCTTCCTACTAAAGGATTATTTACTGTTGTAAAACTCCCCATAGCAACTTCTTTATCCAGAAATCCAATGTCAAGGAGAATCAATTTGATTTGTTTTCCTGAAGTGGGATTAATGCTACTTTACACCTGATTCTCAGTGTACAAACAGTTTCACTTGGAGACAATTTAGCTGTGAAATCTAGCAAATGTTTTCAAGCAATGGTTTATCCACATAACCACAACACAAGATTTATCTAACATGACAATGCGCTTTTGGGGTATTCTGGATGACCATGTATCACAGGAATGTGACACTGATTTTCCAAATAGCACTTAAACAGTTATTTGAATGAGTGTGATTAATGAGGAAGATATCCACACAAAGGTGCAGCTGGTAAATCCTGTTCAGTGAAAACCTAAGATCATGGAAAGAAAATCCTGCCAGATGATGACAGTCAGGATGATTGCAGCAGATTCTGCTACAGCTGGGACCACAACTCTTCACTGCATTTCAGGAGCTCATTAAACCATGGGCAACAGGATTATCTGAAGACCTTCCCAACCTAGCCAGTACACCAAGTCAGTCCCTGGACCAATCCAACGTCCAAACCCACCACCACCACATATCTCCAAATGATATTCCATTGGGAAAAAACTCCACACAAAACAAGTTGCTTAGCCTTTACAGTATATATCATGGTCCTAAAAACTCAAATTTCATATATAAAGTAATGAGCATTCCTAATAGGAGATAATAAGCTGTACCAGCCAAGAGGATCAATATGTATGTACTGACCTTCAAGTCATACTTTTTGTGTATTCCTAGTCTGGGGCTGAAGATGTTCCTCATGACCACCATGTAGGTCTCGACGTCGTTCACCGTCAGGCGGTACATACCCAGGTACTGCGGTAACAGGGTCTGGGCATGCTTCTCCACAATATACTGAAACAAAGACCAAGTTGTGACATGGGCTTCAATACAATAAAGACCAAGTTGTGACATGGGCTTCTATACAATATAGACCAAGTTGTGACATGGGCTTCTATACAATATTAATATAGACCAAGTTGTGACATGGGATTCTATACAACAAAGACCAAGTTGTGACATGGGCTTCTATACAATAAAGACCAAGTTGTGACATGGGCTTCTATACAATATTAATATAGACCAAGTTGTGACATGGGATTCTATACAACAAAGACCAAGTTGTGACATGGGCTTCTATACAATAAAGACCAAGTTGTGACATGGGCTTCTATACAATATAGACTTCTATATTACAACAGACCATCTGCCCTGTGTGCCAGGGAACGAGTGTGAGGACACAAGTATGGGTGCATATGTGTGAGTGTGTGTGTGATTGTGTTGTGGCGGAGGTGCTTGCTTCAGCACTTGTCGGAAATAGAAAATAACTGTTTTTCACATTTATATCTACAATTTAGGTAGTTAATATGTGAAAGTGAAACATATCTGTTAAACGTTCAGTTTAACTACTAACTACAGTCTGGAGGAGGTAGGAATGTAAAGAAGGATTTTTTACTGAGGAGATATTAGTGCAGAAATGAGCAATGAGGGGGGTTTCAAAGTCCGAAGCAACTTATTTGGAGCAGACCATGGCTTTATGCAAATTAGTGTTCGATGATATTGTATAACAAATGACACTTTTTGAATGTCCATTGTGAAATTAGACTAGGCTTCATTATAAAGGATTGCAGACGTAAAAAATAACAACTTCAATACTAAAACTATTAAGCATGTAGATACCATTGAGTCTATGCTATCATAAAGAAACAGGTGGAGGGGTCATTAAAAAGCAAAACCAAACGGGTGTTGCTGGACTGGCAGTTAGGGTTGGGCTGGAGGATAGGGATATTAGCTAAAGATTAGACAATCAATAGAGACATATTCAATACACATGAAAAGCATAAAATATATTTGAGATGACCCCTTGTGCCGTGGGCGCTTTACATTGCATTTCATGCAAAGTGAGTCGACGGTCCGTTGTCATACCTGGCTGAGCGACCTAATTGCATCTATAGTCCTGATCTATTGTTTCAGCAGTTTTTTGAAGTTCTCTTTAGCTACTAAAATAGTTGTAAGCTAATTTTATTGTATGGCACTTACTACTATCTTAGCGCTAAGAGAGCTTCAAAATCTAGGCCCTGAATATTACAGGTTGAAAACTTCTATCCAGTCCCCTGCATTATTCAAAGTGACGGTAAAAGTTATCACTAATTCCCCTAGGTTCTGTAGATTGCTCTGACTATATACTTGCATAGGTTCTCAGTTGATTTCCTTCATGTCTCTAGGTAGGTTTGGTATATGAAGGAAGGGTTAAGTGGAACTGTCAGTCACAACCATCTTCTGACAGCTATCAATAAAATCAATAATGGAGAGCAGCATCATTGTTAACAATTGATATTTTTACAGAAAACATTTCGATTCACACTAAGGCACAAAATTGCAACAAAAATGTAACACCCTGAATTTTACTTGTTCATTAGACTTCAGTTTCCATGCTGGTTAGTGGTGGTCCGATTAATTGAAATAATCTAAGATTGGTCGCAGTGACTAAATGACCAAGCAATCGATCATGTTTTCTCATAATCGAACACAAACAATTCTGGAACACTTGTTTTCATTAACAATATTTTTCACAAGGTTGGTTTTGTCTGTTACATTTCATAAGCACTACAAGCTCGTTTCAAGTCATATTGAATTTTATCTTAAAGACTCCAACAAATTTATGTTCCTAACATACTAGTCATCCTTTAAAGATGTGAAAGTTTGCCAAAAAAAACCCAAAAGAACTACATGTTTTTTCCTTATTTTTATGTGCACTAACAATTTCATTACGACGGCTAACCAATTATTTTGATGATTGATCGATTGTAATGAACCAATCATCCATTACATGAGATTTTAACCAATTCCCAACACTAAATCTGGCATGAAGTTGATGCAGAATGTGCATCGCTTGAGTATAGTGCACTCACCTGGTAGTACTGTTTAAGAATTACATGGTGCATCTTGCTCCACACCTCCTCACTGACCAGTGATTTTACAAAGAACTTCTTGTCCTGGGACATTAACATCCCAGCCACTTCTACCCGGTGAGGTCGATGTAGTGGGGCTGTTTGGTCAGCGAACTCTGTCAACATTAAATAAATCTTAATTACAGATACAGCAAATTCAGCAGTTGTTGACTGAGGCTGCTGGACCAGAAGATGGTCTTGGGGTAAGAACAGTGGCTGGAAACACAGATATCAGACACATACATGAGGATAATGTAGCTTCTAAGATGCCTAGCGGTTAGAACAATCGAAAAAAAAATACATTATCAGACAATAAAGGTATAGTTTTTTGATGACGTAACAATTGAATGACGTTATCCCGTCACTGCGCCATTCTAGCGTGCCCCCTCGTAATCGAACCATTTTACATTACGTCACAATGTAAGCGACGTCACGATGCATGTCAGTTGTCATCGCCTCGTACAGCCTCCTACAGTAAACTACTGCGTTGCATCCCGTTTCTTGGTTTGCAGTTGCTTCACTCACCCTAACATCACTGGTGGAAACATTACGCTTTATGTTTTCTGACTTTTTCAAATGTCCCAATTTCAGACTCGCAGTTTTCAGCGGCCACGGTAACGCCGCTAATGTTTACATTCCCACAAATGCAATCGTGGAATGTCGCTAGACTACTCAGCTTCGCCTGGATGTACTGATCTAAACATACACGTTGGTAGTAGAAATCGCGACGCTCACATGGTTTACGTTAATCACAGATGTAATTAAAATACTTTAGAAAGATATTTAATCTGGAACGTAAAGCCGGCTATGAAACTGTTTTATCATTTGTTTTTCTGGTAACGCTCGCCTTAACGTTGGGGGCAGACACATCAATAGAACAGCGCTGCCAGTTAGCCCTGTGCGAGTTCTTAGCCAATACGTGAAAAAAAGA